TGATATGGTTCAAGCAGTCCAGTTCAACTGGTTTGGTTGCAAGCGGTTTGGTTCATCCTGTTTAGGTTCGATTCGGTCTGGTTCGCCACATTCCGGTTCGGTTTGTTCTGATTTATACCAGTTCTGGTCCGGATCGTTTGTTTCGGTTCAATTGGTTTGGTTCACTTGGCTCTGTTCAATTGGTTTGGTTCGATTCCCTTTCCTCCTTCAGATTTGGTTTGGTTTGTTTCAGTGCAGCTCTTTGTTTGTGTCCATATTGTTAAAGTTATGATCGAGAAGAAATTAATGGTAACGATTTCTGCTGAAGAGTTTGTTAAATTCCAACTGTATCAAGAGTCATTGATGGCATCATCCTCTAATCCAATTACTGTCACTGCTGATTCAGGTAATACCAATAAATATCTTATTTCCTCCGTGTCAAAATGGGTCATTGACTCTGGTGGTACGAATCATATGTCAGGTAACCCCAATTTATTTGCTACCTTTTCACCATTTACATCTTTACCTGATGTTGCAATAGCGGATGACACCACTTCTCCTGTTCTTGGCTCTGACACAGTTCATCTCTCCAAAACTCTTTCATTGACCTCTGGTTTAAATTTGCCATAATTTTTTTTTTAATTTGATCTCTGTCAGTAAACTTACTCGTGATCTCAATTGTTGTGTCTTATTCTTTCCTGGTTATTGCTTCTTTCAGGATCTTACAACGAAGAAGACTATTGGTAAAGGGTGTGAATTTGATGGCCTCTACACGTTTGATACACAAATACCTACAACCATCGTTTGCACTCGAGTGCCAACTCCTTTCGAAGAACATCGTCGTTTGGGTCATCCATCTCTCGCCGTGTTAAAGAGTCTCCGTCCTCAATTTCATAATTTGCATTATTTAGATTGTGAGTCATGTCAATTTGCTAAGTTTCATCGTCTCAGTTCCTATCCTAGAGGCAATACACGAGCTAATGCTCTTTTTGAATTAGTTCATTCTGATGTTTGGGGTCCTTGTCATATTGAGTCCAAAAATGGATTTCGGTATTTTGTTACTTTTGTCGATGATTTCTCTCGTGTAATTTGGTTATATTTGATGAAACATCGTTCTGAGTTACTTTCTCATTTTCGTAACTTTCATACTGAAATTCAAACTCAATTTGGTGGCTTTCTTAAAGTTTTACGGAGTGATAATGCTAAGGAATATTTTTCTGGTGCTCTTGGCTCCTATTTAAGTGAACATGCTATTATTCATCAATTCTCGTGTGTTGATACTTCGTCTCCAAATGGAGTTGCAGAAAGGAAAAATAGACATCTTCTCGAAACAGCAAGGGCCTTAATGTTTTAAATGCATGTTCCAAAATACTTTTGGGTTGATGCTGTTTTGACGGCTTGCTTCTTGATTAATCGCATGCCTTCGTCAGTTCTTAAGGGTGAAATACCTTATCGTACTCTGTGTCCTACACAACCTTTATTTCCTATTAAACCTAAAATATTTGGTTGCACTTGTTTTGTTCGGGATGTTCGCCCCCAGCTCACCAAATTAGACTCTAAGTCATTGAAATGCATTTTCCTTGGTTACTCTCGTGTTCAAAAAGGGTATCGATGTTATTGTCCTGATCTCAATAGATATCTTGTCTCTCCTGACGTTACGTTCTTTGAAGATACTCCTTTTTCATCGTCCTTGAGTACCAGTCTGGAGGAGCAGTCCCAGGAAGATGATACTTTTCTTGTCTATTCTATTGTCTCTACTTCTAGTGAAGAACTTCCTAGCAATACATCTCCCTCTGCGCCTGATCCTTTTCTCCCCACTATTACTCAAGTTTATTCTCGTCGGCAACCTCCTACGGACTCATGCCCTATACCAGTAGCTTCTTTGCATGTGGATCCAGGAACGAGTGATGACCTTCCTATTGCTCTTCGAAAAGGTAAGCGTAAGTGTACTTATCCTGTTTCTTCTTTTGTTTCATATATCCATTTATCATTATCTACTTGTTCGTTTATTGCATCCCTTGAATCTGTATCTATTCCTAAAACTGTTCATGAAGCTTTGTCTCATCCTGGTTGGTGAGTTGCTATGTTGAAGGAGATGACTGCCTTAGATGACAATGGTACTTGGGATTTAGTGTCTCTTCTTGCAGGAAAGAAACCTATCGGTTATAAATGGGTGTTTGCTGTTAAAGTTCATCCGGATAGATCAATTGCCTGTTTGAAAGCTCGCCTTGTTGCTAAATGATATGCGCAGACTTATGAAATTGATTATTCTGACACTTTTTCTCCGGTTGCTAAATTGGCTTCTGTCAGGTTATTCATTTCCTTGGCATCTATTCACCATTGGCCCTTGCATCAGCTTGATATTAAAAATGCATTCCTCTATGGTGATCTTCAAGAAGAAGTGTACATAGAGCAACCACTAGGTTTTGTTGCTCAGGGGGAGAATGGAAAGGTATGTCGCCTTCGTAAATCCTTATATGGGTTGAAACAAAGTCCACGAGCATGCTTTGAAAAATTCAGTCAGGTGATTGAGAATTTGAGAATGAAGAAGGGTAAGTCAGATCATTCTGTTTCTTATAAAAGATCCGAGTCTGGTGTTATCTTACTAATTGTATATGTTGATGATATTGTAATTACTGGTAATAATTCATCAGGCATCCTATCACTCAAATCTTTTCTTCATAGTCAATTTCATACTAAAGATTTGGGAATGTTGAAATACTTCTTAGGAATTGAGGTAACAAGGAGCAAGAAGGCGATCCTTCTGTCACAAAGAAAGTATGTACTTGACTTGTTAACTGAAACAGGAAAATTAGCAAAATTAGCTGCTAAGCCACGTAGTACTCCAATGATGCCTAATTTACAACTTACAAAAGAAGGGGAGTTATTGAAAGGTCCTGAGAAGTATAAGAGGTTAGTAGGGAAGCTGAATTACCTTACAGTTACTAGGCCTGACATAGCTTATCCAATTAGTATTATGAGTCAGTTTATGAGTTCTCCTATGACTGACTATTGGGCCGCATTGGAACATATTCTATGTTATTTGAAAGGTGCTCTTGGACGTGGTTTGTTATATAAAGATCATGGTCATCTTAATATTGAATGTTTTTTCAGATGCTGATTGGGTAGGTTCTAAAGAAGATAGGAGATCAACTTCAGGATATTGTGTATTTGTTGCTGGTAATTTAGTTTTTTTGAAAAGTAAGAAACAAAATGTGGTGTCACGTTCAAGTGCTGAATCAGAATATCGAGCCATAGCACAGTCAGTGTGTGAATTAGTATGGATATATCAGCTTCTGACTGAATTAGGATTTGGCATCACAACTGCAATGAAACTTTGGTGTGATAATCAAACAACTCTCCATATTGCATCTAATCCAATATTTCATGAATGAACCAAACACATTGAAGTTGATTGTCATTATGTACGTGAGAAAATACAGCAAGGATTGGTGGCTACAGGATATGTGAAGACTGGAGAGCAGTTAGGAGATATCTTCACTAAAGCATTGACTGGAGCACAGATAGATTTTCTCTCTAACAAGTTGGGCATGATTAACATATATGCACCAACTTGAGGGGGAGTGTTAGAGTATATATTAGTATATTTTACATTCTTTTAAATAATATGTATTCATTTGTCCTTTACCTTCCCATGTAGAAAAGCAGTTTTTACATCATATTTTAACATGTCCTATCCATGATCTACAACAAGAGATAGAAGTATTTGTACTGTGTTCATCTGGGCAACAGACACAAAGGTTTCAAGATAATCAACTCCATATGTTTGAGTATATCCCTTAGCAACCAACCGTGCTTTGTACCTCTCGAGTGTTCCATCTGCTTTATACTTTACAGTATATATCCATCGACATCTTACAACTTTCTTATCTTTAGGCATAGTAACCAACTCCCATGTTTTATTTTTTTCTAAAGCCTGCATTTCAAGATTCATTGCTTGCCTCCATTCTTCATGTTGTATTGCCTCCATATATGTTTTTGGAATATTTACCTGAGTAAGGTTAACCATAAAACTTTTGTACTGACTTGAGAGTTTGTCATATGATACAAAGTGAGACAATGGATACTGAGTACAAGTCCATTTCCCCTTCCTTAAAGCAATCGGCAAATCCACGTCTGACTCATCATTAGCAGATATTGTAATATCTGACTCATCATTAGTAGATACTATAATGTCCGATTCATCACTGATTATTTTCTCGTCAATTTCAGTTACAGGGATATGTTCAGACTCTTGGACTTGCTTATCTTTTTCAGTGTTCCTTCTTGAATAAACCTGTAATGGTGTAGTAGTAGAAGGGTTAGATGGTCCCGGTAAGGTATCTAAGGGTGGTGGTAAAGGATTTGATATAGGAAATGTGAGGTTGGGAATGGGCAAATCCTTATCTTCTAATAATAGTTCCTCCCCCTAAAGATAAGGTGAGGTAAAGAAGCTGGTGTCTTCGTAAACGGTAACATCAGCAGAGATGAAGAACCTTTTAGAAGGAGGATGATAACATTTATATCCCTTTTGAGTGTTCGAGTATCCGACAAAAATACACTTGAGTGCTCGTGGATCAAGTTTACCTCGCTGATGACTATGAACATGAACAAAAGCTACACAACCAAATACTCGACGAGTCAAGTTATTTGTTGTTCGAAAATCAGGATAATATTTTGATAGGATATTCATAGGAGTGTTATGGTCTAGAATGGTAGATGGTAAACGATTGATTAAATAAGTGGCTGTTAACACAGCTTCCCCCCAGAAGGATTTAGGAACATTTCTTTGAAAAAGAATGGCACGTGTCACAGAAAGGATGTGACCAATTTTTCTTTGAGCCACTCCATTTTGTTGAAGGGTGTCCACATAAGACGATTCATGGATGACTCCATTTTTTTGAAAGAAGGATGTTAAGTTTTAATTGAAGTAATCTCGAGCATTGTCAAAACGGAATCGTTTGGGTTTGATTCCGAATTGGTTTTCTATCATATGAAAGAATGTTTGAATGGTAGAACCAACCTCAGATTTTTGTTTTAAAAGATAAACCCATGAGACTCGAGTACAGTCATCAATGAACACAATAAACCAATGAAATTTGGAAACATTTGGAACATTGGAGGGACCCCAAACATCATTATGAATAAGAGAGAAGGGAATTGATATTCGTTTATTATTACTAGGGAAGGGTACACGCTTGTGTTTAGCGAATTCACAAACTTCACATTCAATTGACTCAGATTAAGATTTTGGAATAAATCAGGAAACTATATTTTAAGAGTTCGAATGAAGGATGTCCTTGTCTATAATGATTCAACAAAAGCTTACTTGAAGGATGATGAGTTTGTGAGGTGAAGGAGACTGGAACACTAGTCTGATCGACAAGTTCATTAAGATAATAAAGTCCATCTTTTTCCTTAGCAAGTCCAATAATCTTCCCATTGTCCTGGTTCTGTAAAATACAAGAAGAATCAGAAAAAATTATTGTGCAACTTAAATCTTTGATCAAATTCTTTACTGATATCAAATTAACAGTTAAACGTGGTATATGAAGCACATTCTTTAAAGTAATGTTTGAATTTATCTTGATGTCTCCTTGAACGGCCACTGTTACCAAGGTACCATCTGCTGTAGAAATTTTCTTATTGCTCGGACAAATATTATAAGAGATAAAATGACAGCTACTATTCGTCATATGATCTGTTGCACCAGAATCAATAATCCATGTACAACGTTTAGGCTGAGAAGTTGTACTCGTCAAAGTTACCGAACCTGTACCTTGACAAGGAGCATTATCCAAAGTTTTTAAGAAGCTCCTTAATTGTTTGATCTCATGTATGTCCAACTTTTTTGTAATTTTGAACGATTGTGACATTGATACCAAGACTAAACAACAACTCAAAACATGGAGAACCACGCACAAAACTGAAAAATCAGCACTAAACCGAACCGAAAGAGGGCTGAACCGAATCAAAACCAGTTGAATTGAACCAAAATATGCTGAACAGAACCAGATATGACTGAAACGAACCACTGTGAGAATCGAACCAACTGCCGAACTAGCTGAACCGGACCAAAAATGACTGAACCGAGGCTAAGCTGAACAGTGGTTAGAAACTGAACCATGCCGAACCGAAAATCGTGAACCGAACTAGATTTCCCTTTGCAAACCCTAGCAGCCACCCTTTACGACAACAACTCTAGCAGCCACGCGAATCAGCAAACGGCGGGGGCGGCGGCAGTGGTCGGCGGTGGCGGCGGTGATCTTGCAGTGGGTTGGGTACAATGAACACTTGCAAAATAGTGTTCAAAAATTCAAACCCTAATGGGTACAAAACCCTAATGGACACAAAATCCTAGTTCCCACAAATATTTTAGAGGAAACTTGGCTCTGATACCATGTTAATTGATAAGAAAAGAAAATAATTCTTCCTTGATTACCACAGATGATTGATACAAGGCTATATAAATAGCAGTCACAAAGATGAAACTAAAAAGAAATTCTTGCCTATTAGGATAAGGAAACACTTACCTATTAGAACAATAAAACCCTAACCTAAATAAAATAGGAAACCTTTAAAATAAAATAAACTATAATTTAACAAAAATGGTTTTATTTTTCATCTCTCTAGAAAATTAGAGTACTTTTCCTACAAGTTCAATGAAGGGGCAGATATTATTACCGAATAAACTTTTATCTTCTTTATTACCTTTATCAATAAAAGAATTGATTATCTTGTTTCAAATATGACAATTGTTTTTTTTTTTTTTTTTTTTGGTTATTGCTTGGAGTAACCTCTAAATCTTTTTTTTGCCATTTTTTTCTGTTTAATAAAACATGCTTCTACAGTAATTACAATAACTAAAATATGAGTGAAATTTGTAATAATAACTTATTTGTCTATGTCAAACTTATTTGGTGTAAATTTTATTTGACGTTACAAATTCTTAATCTTATGCGACTAACTTTCAGGATTCTTTCTGATATGCGGACTTTGTCAGCCGATTGGATGGCAAATAGAAGCAAATCTGAATCCGAAGCACAATCTATTCAAAGAGGTGAAGAAAGCAAAGTGAACTTCTTTTATCCACGCCCAGTTGCACCAACGTCCACTCAGGTCTCCACACTTTAAATTGTTTCTTGTCGTACATTTCGTTACAAAAAGAAAGAAAAGGTTTGCGGGAGCATGAAATATCTGTGATGAGTTTGATAGAAGAAAAATTCAGATGGCTTGCCTTGCCATGTCATAAAATAGTTTACCTTACCTTATGATATTTTTCTTTTTATAAGAAACAATTTCATTGGTGGTATCAGATTATGAAAGAAAGAGATGAAAAGTTCTATAAAAAAAATTATCATATTAATCAATGAGAGAAGTTCGTATCTTGTTTAAAAAAAAAAAAAAAGGCAAGAGCAATTTACACAAAGAGAGCCAAAAAGGCTAGTGACAAAAGAATGATCACAAGTGTAACATGTAAAGCTTCTGAAAGATCCAGAAGATACTAATCCAATAGGCACCTACTAAAACAAGGGGAAGTAGAAGAACTCGTACTCATGGAAGGTAACATGCGGGATGGATGATGAATAGCGAACATAATAATTTATGGTTGTCCATGTTCCTAGAAAAAAGATACTTTCGGGATGAAAGCAGCCTACTGTAAGCCAGATGTGACTCGGAAGGAGAAGGAGGAGCTTCGGGATTCTAGTTGCCCCTCATCTTATGATGAAGTGCGGAGATCATTTCTTTGTCGGACAAAATTCATTTGACTGGTTGCTGTGCTGCTTTTCCTTTCTCCTTATCCTTGGGGTCTGCTGGAGCTTCTTTCGCCTTCGTCTTTGGTGCTTTCCCTAAAGAAGAAATAACACCTATTTACTCTAAAGTTAGTGGAGACCAACTATTAATTCTAGCCCATTTTTGGACTGACAGCCTCGATGATAAGCAAGTGAATGCTGGTATCCAATCAATTGTCTGACACACCCCACCAACTTGAATGACTTTTTTTTAATTAGTATACCCTTTGCTTTGCTTCCTCTATGATGAAATGTGTCCAGGAGAAGCTTCCTTTCTTTTTAAAAGGGTGGTCATATAAAGTTTGAGATAGGAAGCTCTTTGGGTCTTACCTTATGATGTCATACTAGCATGTTTCCACCATTTGGGGTTGTTCGGTTAACTTTTTTTGCTATTTGTTACTTAGGTCTCTTGCTATGGAAGAAAACCAATCCGCAACTGGGAGAGGATGAAAAAACTTATGCGCGAGTGATTTTTACCATTGAACTTCGAGCAAATCTTGTATAATTAGTATCAAAACTGCAAGCAAGCTACGAGGAGAAGGAGTTTCAGCCACATTATCTCACAAATACCATGAGATAATGCCCTGAATTCAACCTCAGCACTACTTTTTGCAACAACTGATTGTTTCTTACTCCTCCATGTAACAAGATTACACCATACGAAGGTACAATATCCTGTCGTGGATCTCCTATCTTGAACAGAACCTGCCCAATCAGCATCTGTAAACACCTTAATCTTTCTGTCATCATCCTTTCTGAAAAATAATCCAAGTCTTGGAGTTCTTATAAGATATCTTAGAAAATGATACACGAATTACATGTGTTCTTCAGGAGGAGCATGTATGTATTGACTTACAACACTCACTGCAAATGCAATATCCGGCTTAGTGTGGGATAAATAGATTAATCTTCCAACAAGACGTTGATATCTCCTTTTATCAACAGATACCCCATCTAGGCTCTCTCCCAACTTATGATTGGGACTTATTGGAGTATCAGATGGTTTACATCCAAGCATTCCAATTTCCTTCAAGAGGTCTAGTACATATTTTCTTTGACATACAGATATACCAGTTCTGCTCTTTGCAACTTCCATCCCTAGAAAATACCGAAGTTCTCCAAGGTCTTTTATTTCGAACTCCTTTCCAAGTGCCTGTTTTAGTCTCTCTATTTCTTCATGATGGTCACCTATGACGATAATATCATCGACATAAACAATGAGGATGATGATCTTACCTTGAAAGTGCCTGCATGGTCAGTTTGAGCTTGGGTATACCCTTGTTTACAAACAGCCTTTGAAAATCGCCTGAACCATGCATGTGGGTATTATTTTAAACCATAGAGAGATTTCTTCAGCTTACACACCTTCCCATCATACTTATCAATGTCAAATCCAGGAGGAAGGTCCATGTACACCTCTTCTTCCAAATCTCCACTGAGTAATGCATTCTTGACATATAGTTGTTGTAGTTTCCAGTCTAGATTTGCAGCAAGGGACAAGAGGACACGGATTGTGTTTAATTTTGCAACGGGTGCAAATGTCTCCTGATAGTCTACCACAAAAGTCTGAGAGTATCCTTTGGCCACCAGTCGTGCTTTATAGCTTTCAATGAACCCATCAGCCTTCTATTTGACAGTAAAGATCCATCGGCATCCTACCGTTGGTTTATCTTGAGGATGATCAACTACTGTCCACGTATCATTAAGCTTCAAAGCCTTCATTTCATCATCTACCATATTTTTCTACTGTGGATTGCTCATAGCCTCTTGAATGGATTTTGGTACCTCATTGGCTCA